AAGAAAACTGTAGATAGACTATTGGTTCTCTATGTAAAGAAAACCGTAGATAGACAGTTGGTTCTCTAAGTAAAGAAAACTGTAGATAGACTATTGGTTCTTTAAGTAAAGAAAACTGTAGATAGACAGTTGGTTCTCTAAGTAAAGAAAACTGTAGATAGACTATTGGTTCTCTAAGTAAAGAAAACTGTAGATAGACTTGGTTCTCTAAGTAAAGAAAACTTTAGATAGACAGTTGGTTCTCTAAGTAAAGAAAACTGTAGATAGACTATTGGTTCTCTAAGTAAAGAAAACTGTAGATAGACTATTGGTTCTCTTTAACCATACATCATCTTGCAAAACAAAACAGACAAACAGAAAAAAGATATATTTCACTAAATTAAATAATTAAGCTGAAAATTTGCCATAAGCACTGTAGGTGGTGATTATTATACATACATGGGTTAAAGTTCTATATATGTGGACAGAAATCCTTCAAAATTACCTTTACCAGGCATGATTTAAAGTTAATGTTCTAAACTTCCAACCATTTTCATTCTGTACAAGGAAAGGGTCATTGGTTAATGCAATGATGTTTTTCTCATGTGTAAGTGGGCTTACACGTTAAAGGATTGAATATTAACATTTAAGTAATTATCGTCTTAGTCCATCTGGTGACGTGATTTTTTTTTACTACAAAGTCAATTTAAAATCTAATGCTGAAAGTCTAAAATGTACAACCCCGGATCTTTTCAAAGCCTAAATGACCCCTAAACTTCTGGCCAATATATTTGTTTCATAATTCACCATGGAAACATTCACTGATGTAAATATAAGTGTTCAAACTGGTGTCCATCTTGAGCTAACTATTTCTGGATTAACTCTGTATGTGGCACTGTCAATTCACAAACAGGCCTTTTTATTTTAGAAGCATTTAACTACCAGTTTGGTCATACAGGAACAAATACTTAAATAGATTAGTTTGTTTAAATAGTGGTTCAAAGAGTAACAGAATTTGTTTTTTAATTTAAGAAGTGGTGTGTTTCCTGTGCTATTGACACGTTATGCTTGAATTAATTTAAGAAGCGTGTGTTTCCTGTGCTATTGACACGTTATACTTGAATTAATTTAAGAAGCGGTATGTTTCCTGTGCTATTGACACGTTATACTTGAATTAATTTAAGAAGCGGTATCTTTCCTGTGCTATTGACACGTTATGCTTGAATTAATTTAAAAAGCGGTGTGTTTTCTGTGCTATTGACCCGTTGTGTTTGAATTAATTTAAGAAGAGATGTGTTTCCTGTGCTTGAATTAATTTAAAAAGCGGTATGTTTCCTGTGTTATTGACACGTTATGCTTGAATTAATTTAAAAAGCGGTGTGTTTCCTGTGTTATTGACACGTTATGCTTGAATTAATTTAAAAAGCGGTATGTTTCCTGTGTTATTGACACGTTATGCTTGAATTAATTTAAGAAGCGGTGTGTTTCCTGTGTTATTGACACGTTATGATTGAATTAATTTAATATCTTCAGTAAATCTTGCTATTTGTAGTGTATTTAGCCATTATTTGAAAATATGTTTCCTTATTAACAAAGAAATAACTACTGTGTTATTTTGTACAAAATTGTTACCTGTTGCTAGAATATTATGCAAAAATAAGTTTTATATAACTAGTTACGTATATACATTCAAAATTTTAAAAGTTTGGAGACGAAGTACTTCATCGTATGAAACTACTCTTGTTTTAACTTGTTGGATGGTACGTGAAACATAAGCACTGTCTGATGGATAGATAAAATAAAGCGAATGTTAAACATCGTTCTATAAAAACTTTTATATGCGAAAGTTAACACGGCACTGAATGTTGAAAACTTAGAACCCCACCACAGACGTACAAGACTTGTTAATTCAACTCGTTGTATACCCATGTTAGAACTCACGAAAGAAGATGATAACGTACCACGATCTTCCAGTCAACTAACTTAACAAGCATTTTGGTGTTACAAATGTAGTTTTCACGGAACACGCAATTTTTAAAGTCTTCAGAGAAGATTCAACATGCCAACTTAAGACGACATGGTATCTTTGGTACAGTTAGTCAAAATTATCCATCGTGATTTTGTTTTATTTATTAGATATAATGTCACGACCAAACAATTAGACGTCATAATTTTGGTGACCAGTAGTAGAAAACCCTTACTGTATACAGCCGTGTAACATGTAGTTCATGTTTGCTGTCGTGTCCTCGTTGGCTGCATATAGCGGATGTGGCATGGTTGACAAATAATTATACATTTTTTTACCTATACTTAGAAGTTCCTATTAATAATTATATAACGTGTCAAGATAGAGAACCAGTCTCGGTGAGGGAGCTTGACACGCAATCTGAGAGTCGCGGGTTCTTATCCCCGTCCCACCAAATACGCTCGCCGTGGGGACGTTATAATGTGACAGTCAATCCTACTATTCACTGGTAAAAAAAGTAGCCCAAGAGTTGACGGTGGGTGGTGATGACTAGCTGCCTTCTCTCTAGTCTTACACTGCTAAATTAGTGACTGCTAGCGCGGATAGCTCTCGTGTAGCTTTGCGCGAAATTCAAAACAAAACAAATCAATCTCATGCAGATCATCTCCGACACGGGAGAAATTTCCGGACATACACACATATACATAAATATATACATGCCACAATCAGAAGTTCAGAGGCCAGAAAGAATTAGCTATGGCTGTAGACACGTGCCTCAAGTGATACATTAGTATAGCCCATACTAATCGTAGTTCTATATGGTATAGCCTAATATCTTTGATGTCTACACCTGCAGATTGGAGTCAAGGCTACTACCGTTCATTTTCTCCACTACTATTACTATTATTATTTAATTTTTTGCCCAGGTGGTACAAGTTTTCACTGCAAAACAACAACAAAAACTGTTCAATTGACTATTTTCGTCTTCTTATTTTCTGTTTTTCATGTATTGAATTATTAAAATTCTTACATTGTAAAGTTTCTGCAAGTGGAACATAACGTGCATGAAGCCATCTTGTCTCTAAGTGACCCCAATAAACAAGGTTAGTGTTAGTAACCAATAAAACTCCGGTGATAGTGACCATGACTGACTTTTCGAGAGCCACGAAGGTTAACAACTCATAACTGTGGAATAAATCACATCAGATATCCCTACCACCGTTGTCAGTATGAGAAATAAATTTAATCCACCTATACTATAGTTTCACTACCAATACCATGCTACCGAGAGTAATGGGGGAGAAAAAAAGCAATAAATTTGAACATCCAAAACAAACCGTATTTGAAAGTTGCTTGTATATGTAGCAATGGCATGAAATATCATTCTTTTTTTTTATGAGAGTTCATAAAAAGAAAAATACGCACAATAATACTTTTAAAATTTTGGTTTATTGCTAGGGTAGTACGATTCATTGTTCTCGTTAGTTGTTATTATCTTACTAACACTAACACCACCACTGGTACTAGTAGTACGCTAATTTTATGTAATTATACTATTAGTATTACTACTAATACTAGTGTTAGCTATAGGCCTAATACAGACCTTTTTGTTTTCTCTGTCATACAGAACTTTGTTAGTTTACCTGAAGAGATAAAATTAATAATTTGGTTTTAAGTGTAACCCTAAAATAGGAAGTTGTGTAAAGCTGATGAAAATCTTTAAGCTATAGGCCACTGTCAACACAGTTGGTGTTACCAAAACCAGCAGAAAATGCAGGTAATTTATTTTTCATGAATTAATATCATAAATCAATACATTTTCGTAAACTGAGACCATTTAAACTTGACAGTACAATTTAGAATCAATTATTATTAAATTCAAGAATTGCACTAACTGTGAGTTGTTGAAACATCAATATTGTAATTTTTTCCTCTCAGTTTTGCTCTTTTTGCATGTTCTTCTATTGCTTTTAATTTAAGTTTTATTGACAATATGAGAATTTAGATCTCATTAAGTTAAAAGTGAAAAATAAAGTTTTTCTCTTCAATATTCTTAATGGTTTATAAGCTTTTGCTGTGAATAGGTTCAGTTGTAGTGTAGACTATTAATATTTAACTTAAGATCCACATTTAATTAAATGTTGAGCTATTTAATTTACAGAAGTTTGAAATTCATTTATGATTTTATTAAATGCTTCTTATGCTCAGTATACACACACACGCACCTTTAGTTTTAAGGGAAAAATGTCTCGAATGCTTCCTCTCGTCAGTGAGTACAACTATCCCATTTACACTATTCATTATTATGGGTCATCCAGAGAAAAGTCTGTCCCAAAACACCAAGAAATAAGTACTTTGCAAATAATTATAAGATCATAAGAAGAAAAAAGTAACAGAATGCTGTTGAACCTGTAATATTTTTCCTTAACCCATAAAATAAGCATCTGAACTCCATGTTAAATATAGTTGTTGACATCCAATAATTATCCAGCAAATATGTCAAAGAACCCTAAACAACAAACCCACATCACTTAATCAATCAAACTAAGTTTAATGTACCTTTTCATTCCATCTTTCGGATCATGCATGGAGAGTATGACGAAACCCCCAACAGTTTTTAAAACCACAGCCACCTATCTACTCCTTCTATGCTCTAAATCTTTAAGTATCCTTTCATAGCTTGAACTTGTTAAACCAGTTTCATCCTAGTAACCTTTCTTGCACTCTGTATAGTGTGCCCAGATTTTTATAAAGCATCACAACATCCTTCCTGCTATTAATTCAAAAATTCCTATCATTTTTATCATTCCGTAGTTTAATGAGTACTTGATAATTTTCTTAAAACGATATGATTGTTCACTTACATGTTTTCAGTGTGTGGAAGTTAAACTTGAACTTGGTCATCGAGCCACAATGAGAAGTAAGCCTACAGTTGAAGGATTTACTCATGATTGGACAGTGTTTGTACGTGGACCTGAAGGATTTAGTATCCAGCATTTTGTAGAAAAGGTAGTTTTTCATCTACACGAGAGCTTTCCAAAACACAAACGAGGTAATCCTACTTAACCTCTATGCACCGATGGTGTTATGATACCTGTTTGAATCAGTGTTATTACTTGTGTTATAAGTGTCCTCTACGATATCTGTTTCAGTCAGTGTTATTACTTGTGTTATAGGTGTCCTCTACAATATTTGTTTCAATCAGTGATATGTAGTCTTGTAGTACAAACTAAGGTGTAGTAGAACTGAGATGGGAAATCTGTGTGATACAGTGAAGTATGTGTAGTCTTGTAGTACAAACTAAGGTGTAGTAGAACTGATATGGGGATCTGTGTGATGCAGTGAAGTATGTGTATTCTTCTAAGGAAGACGCCCTTTTTTATAGCCTTCGTGATGCTTATTTCTCTGCATCTTATTAAAAACTAAAGAGAATATATGAGAGAAAGAATTAAAATTTCCATATGTTTTTATTTTAGATTTATTTGTTCACAGTTTTGTTTGTATGTCCTTTTCTTAACTTAATTAGCCAGTCTTTGACATGATAAGTATTCCTGTCAAAAATTGTATGTTTGACTTACTTAATATCAAAAGAAATCAAGTTTATAAATAAAATATTTGTCACAAAGATAGGTTTAGCATTTTTTTTTACATGTTTTGTTTCCTTCTTTTTATCTTAGTTTTTGTTAATAATTATAATATATTGAATTTACTTTGTGATATTCACTATTTTAAATTTTAATTTACAACCTTTTGTGAAGAAATATTTATTTTTTACTTTTCATAAAAAACAACACAACTTTACTTTGTATGATGTACATTCCTTAAAGAAATCTTTAACATATCTCTGTTATTTCATTTGTAAAATTAGAATAACATATCTGAAATATTCGGTCATTACGCCAACTTGCATACGAATATGTAATTCTCCATCGAACTACATGTTCTGAATGCAGTTTTCTCACTGTCCTTAATTCTCCTTCACGTTATGCAAAGAGTAAAATTGTTGATGTTTTGCGATGATTTCTTATAGGTCTACATGACGTTCCTGTAACTTTTTTCAGTTATCAAGGAACCACCTTACCAAGTTTCAGAATCTGGATATGCTGGGTTTAACATGCTCATTGATGTTCACTTCAGGAACAAAGAGGAACCAAAGAAAGTTGAATTTGAGTATGATTTGTACTTAAGGTTGGAAGGACCTGTTGCCAATACAAGAGGAGAGAAGCTCACTTTCCAGAATCCCACAGAGGAGTTTAGGAAGAAGCTGTTGAAAGCTGGAGGAGTAAGAAGCTTCCATACGTTTTAGATGATAAACAAGGTTGAGAGTGGTCAGTGGTTTCACATGGTACTTAGGTTAATTAAATAACATTTATAAACAAGGTTGAAACCACGTGAATCAACTCATATCTAGTTTTTCCACTCCTGTGAAACAAATCCACATCTGTAAGCCTTTCTTTACATGTACAGAAACTCCTAACAATTGTAACCACGTGAATCAACAACACACATCTAGTTTTTACACTCCTGTGAAACAAATCCACATCTGTAAGCCTTTCTTTATATGTACCGAAACCCCTAACAATTCTAACCACATGATTCAACACACATCTAGCTTTTACACTCCTGTGAAACAAGTCCACATCTGTAAGCCTTTCTTTATATGTACAGAAACCCCTAACAATTCTAACCACATGATTCAACTCACATCTAGTTTTACACTCCTGTGAAACAAATCCACATCTGTAAGCCTTTCTTTATATGTACAGAAACCCCTAACAATTCTAACCACATGATTTAACACACATCTAGTTTTTACACTACTGTGAAACAAATCCACATCTGTAAGCCTTTCTTTATATGTACAGAAACCCCTAACAATTCTAACCACATGATTCAACACACATCTAGTTTTACACTCCTGTGAAACAAATCCACATCTGTAAGCCTTTCTTTATATGTACAGAAACCCCTAACAATTCTAACCACATGATTCAACTCACATCTAGTTTTACACTCCTGTGAAACAAATCCACATCTGTAAGCCTTTCTTTATATGTACAGAAACCCCTAACAATTCTAACCACATGATTCAACTCACATCTAGTTTTACACTCCTGTGAAACAAATCCACATCTGTAAGCCTTTCTTTATATG